GTGTGAGAGAGGAAGAAAGTAAGTCGCCAGGTCTGGGACTTAAACAGTGGTAAGCATGTGGGAGTCCAGCGCCCTTAACCACCACGCCATCTATCAGCCTCCATCACCAGATTTTATACCTAGGCTTCGTAATGTCATTGATCTCCATGAACCGGCTTTGGGAAGCTAGTAAATCTTCTCAAACTGCATGCAACATTATGTGTCTGCAATGTGAGCTTTTTTAGGGGCACAGAGGGGTGATGAAGGAACTGTAGCTGACATCAGCTTATCAAAACATGAGTGACCCAAATAGATTTTAGTGGCTAACTGAAAAAAAAAAGAAAAGGAAGTGATCATTTCAGTCTTTCTGGAAATCTGTCCGATGTCATCACCTTTGGAAAAGCTGACATGACACGGTGGAAGGTAAGAAATTCTAAGATCTTCCAAGACAATTTACCACTGAAAGTGACTCTACGTCGATAAACTAAGGAAAGCAAAACACAATTTTCATGTACTGATTTTTAAATAATATAATCATTTAAAACAAAATGTTTTAATCACTCTGAACTTTGCCCAGCTGAGCTGGATAGCTAAGAGATCACAATCAGAGTAAGAAAATCCTAATGTTTAACAGACTATAACAAACTGAAAAGAATCAAATACACCCTGTAAGAGCTTTCCCCCAAACAAGTACCTACTAAAGAACTCAACTTTTTGTACAGAAAATGTTTTAATACCTGAGCGGCATGTATTATCAAAGACTTTCTGTAGAAGTGTCTTCGGGATGCGGCCGGTTCTTCGGACAGAATTATCAAGTCTCATTAGAGCCCAATCGAACTGACTAGCATTCCTCCTGTACACAGTGGTTGGCTCCTCTGGAAGGTCCTTTTTCTCAGCAGCAATGGCATACAGCCTGGCTTGGCTCAGTAGCCCCCTACAAAATGAAATGTGATTAGTAATCAAATAAGTTAATTATTGTCTATAGAACAGCTTTTCGAGTAAAACATATACAAAGTTATTTTTTTTTTCTTTAGTTATTGAATATCTAAGCCACGGCACACACACACACACACACACACACACACACACACACACACACACAAAATTCAGAGAAGTATCAGCTGTTAGAAAAAGAGTTTTAACATTTGTTTTGGATCAAATCTCTCTCGCACACATGTAAATTATACACGCAGTAAGTCTCCTGAATAACTGAAAGTGTCTTGCTATCTTTCAACCTGAAATCTTTCCAAACTAAGATGACAATATGGTATGTATCAAGTGTTTTTATAACCACTTTTAAGCAAAACTAAGTTAATGAAAGAAAATGAAGCAGCTTATGCATCTCGCCTCTATAAATGATACAAGAGATCTAAAATATATCCAAAATTCTGATAACTACATTCAACTGTTTTCTAGGTATAAGCTTATTATTAATTTAAAAGACCAAGGTCTAAATTAAAACTATGCAGTTTTTTAAAAAAGGATCACTTGAGAGACCAGCAGTTAGCGTAATGGCTATGTCGCTGGACTCCCATGTAGTTGACCACGTTTCGTGTCCCGGACCTGGTGACTTAAAACTCACTCTGGGCTCGTGTGTGTGCGTGCCCAAGATCCCAAAAGGAGAATGGAGGAGAAAGGATTGCGGCGTGGCCATCCCCCCTGGGGGGTGATTTCTCACTTTCTGTCCCTCTGTCTCTGTCTGGCTTGCTGGTGAGTGCACACACCCAAAAGCAAAAAAAAAAAAAAAAAAAAAAAAAAAAATCACTTGAACCAAAATAATTTCAAATCTGCCTAATATATTTGAACCATTTTATAGTAATAACATTTCAGTTCTCAATTTTTTTTAAAAGTTCTCCCCCTTTTTAAATTCACTATAGGGAAACGGGGGGCAAGTGGGAGTGAAAATGCACCCCCCTCTCCCTGAGAGATGTTCATGCCGAAATCTTTTTGGGATTATGAGCATGCATGCACATGTGCCCAGCATGTTTTTTAAGCTACCAGATCAGGGACTGGAACTGCATAGTAGGCCGTGTGGGATCCAGCTGCCTAACTCCCATGCAACCAGCTGGCCCATTTCTTTTCCGTTTAACTTATCTATTTCGTCTTTTTATTTTTAAAGAGGTTTTTGCTATAGGGCATGTGTGCTCAATAGAAAGCAAGAGATCACCCCCCGGGGAGATGGCCATGCTGCAATCCCTTCTTCTCCATTCTCCTCTTAGGAGTTTGGGCATGCACACATGCCCGGTGTGAGTTTTACGCCGCCAGGTCCAGGACTCAAACCACAGTCAACTATGTGGTAGTCCAGTGACATGACCATTACGCCACCTGCTGGTCCTGAGCTTATCTATTTCTTCTATAAGTGAGAAAAACAGAGAGCGAGAATGAGACAGTAAGAGAGAGAGAAAGACCCCAACAGTGTCTTGATGCCACAATCCACCCTCAGTCTTCTGCCAGCCCTGGATTGTGGGTACGCACGTGCCCTGAGTACTCAGGAAGGCCTCCTCTGAGGTGGGACTGATTCACACAGCATCGTGCTTTACCGCTGCGCCACTGCCTTGCCCTCAGCCTTCAATTCTTACCTGCTTTTCATGTGTCAAAATGCTAGTCATACACTTGGCTAATTATTTTAAACTGTGACCATCAAAAATAATACTAGGTCTGTGTTAGACATCATTAATTTCAGGAAAAAGGTAAACAAAAATATTTATAAATTAGGTAATGTCTAATAGTACAAATGTGTTCGTAAAGAGCAAGCAACCTTGGGAACAGCAGGTGACGTGATTAGGATAGCTGAATCCCACAGAACCAACTGTGCAGCTGAGTTCTAGACCAAGACTTTGAAGAATTCACTGGATGCATGTGTGTGTATCCACAATCCCAAGAGGAGAATGGAGAAAAGGTTACAGGTATCCCTCTAGGGGCTACTTTTTCATAAGCTGTACCGACCTGCACATTTGGTGACCTTAAACATAGAGAACACTGATCCCCAATCCTATTCTGAGATTAGTTTTACTTGCAACATGGAACAATTACAGGACTTGGGAAAACTTAAAGATGCTTCAAAAAGCCTGGAAAGAGTAACTCAGTTGTAACTTGGGGCAAGTTAAGGATCCAAGTGAATCCAGAGGAAAACCAGAAACGTCTTACTTTAAGCCAAACCACCGCTTGTGCAGGTTGGATGTCAAAAAAATTCCTTTTGAATTTATGCCACGCATCGATTTGGGCACCTTTTTTACATGTATGAAAGGGTTAAGAGGGACTGACTGCCTGTGTATTTGACTCATCTTTAGCATCAACCACATTTATCCAGCTTTTATTTTTTTCCCAAAGGAATTAGAATACACTCAGAATAAATAAGGTGCAGTTCCCACAAAATAAACAAAATTTAAAAATAAAATAAAATAAAAGCACTGGGCTGGCTCTGCGGCCTCATGGTTAAGGCAGCCTGATCCTTAAGGCAGCCCATATGTGTCTTGCCTAAAATTTAAAAAAAGGAAGAGATGGAGAAGAAAGGATTGCTATGAGACCATTCCCCCTGGGGGGTACTCTTTCTTCTCTCCCTGTCTCTCTCTGGTAAGCACATATGCCCGCGAGTAAAATAAATAAATAAATAAAACTGCTGTTGCTTTCCTATCCTATTAACCTGGAAGACCAGCCACAAACTGAATGCTTATATATGTAAAAGAGCACTAAAGGTTTCACTAGAAGGTTATATAAAACATAGAGGAGATAAAACTGACACTACATTAGAAATTCTACCACTGTGATCTCGAACAACTCACAACCACTGTGACCATCAATGATTCCACCTACATGAAGAAACAGAATATGATGAGAAAAAACAAGCTACTAACACAACGTGTTATCTCTATAAACCTAGTGATCAGCACATTAGAGATAATTAATTGACTAAGGTTTGTTAAGTGAGTTGAGTTAATTAAATGCCTAATTATCACCTACAAATCACAGAAAATACACTCTGACACATACTTTCAAAAAGGTTTCTAAAGGTTTCCATGGTTGTTTATTTGGTCATTCTATCAGTTGTTACTCAACTACCCCTTATTAGTAAAGCAAACACAAAGTAACATTATTTTAAATTACCCAGAACAATGTGTCAGATGAGTGTGAAATAATATATTTTTCCCAACAGGAGGCCACTAGGTAGTATAGTGGTTGAGGTGCTGGACTCCCACATAGCTGACCACAGTTCAAGTCCTGGACCTGGTGGCTTGCACTCGCTGTTGAGCACATGTGCCCTATAGCAAATTAAATAATAATAATAAAATTAAATAATTCTTTAAAAATTTTTTCAAAAGCTGAACATACAAATTTCAAAATTGTAGTGAAGTATATGTGCCAACATTTTTTACACAACCCATTAAAGAGCATAAAACTTTTGCTAAAATATAGGTTTTATTATTATTATTATTTAATAAGAGAGGGAAAAAGAGAGGCTGGGGAAGGAAAAAAGGAACGAGTATTTTTTGTTTTGTTTTCTTTTGTTTTTGCTATAGGGTGTGTGCACTCGCCAGAAAGATAGGAAGCAAGAAATCACCCCCCAGGGGGGATGGCCATGCCACAATCCCTTCTCCTCCATTCTTCTCTCAGGATCTTGGACACACGCACACACACACCCAGCATGAGTTTAAGCCACCAGGTCTGGGACTCGAACTACGGTCAAGCACATGGGAGTCCAGCAACATAGCCATTACGCCAACTGCTGGTCCCCGAGAGAGTATTTTTGACATATCTCACCACGCATGGCTCCTCTTACCCCAGTCTCCCAACTAGCTAGGATTACACACTCCAATCACCACAGGAGGCCTGTTTTTTCAGGCTGGTCCTGGAACTGAACCTGAGCCACCATGTGGTCTCAGTTACATGAAATGATACCCCTACCACTTGTGCCACTCCGACTGCCCTAAACTGCAGTTTTAAAATGCAAAATCAGTCAAACACAAATCAATTCAGGCTGAAGCTGTCTAAACCAAACACTGTGAAGCTAATTTTTCTTACATGCAGGAGTTTAACACAACCAAGTCTCCTTTGGTTAATAAATTTGCTAGGCGTTAGTTATGCAGAAACATGAATCTACTATAAAATAAACTGGGTAAGGAAAGGATTACATATTTAGGCAAAGAATTCTCACTCTTCCAAAGGATTCTCTGTTGTCTTTTTTAGAGATTTTTGCTATAGGGCACTCACTGAAGAGAGAGACAGAAAGTGAGAAATACCCTCCAGGGGGGATGGTTATGCCTCAATCCTTCTCCATTCTCCTCTTAGGATTTTAGGCACACACGCACATGCGCCCGGCATGAGTTTAAGCAGCAGGGTCTGGAATGTGAACCATGGAAGACTACATGGGGGTTCAGCAACCTAATCATTACGCCATCCACTGGGCCCCCTGTTGCTTTTTACAGTAGCTATATGCTCACGTTTTATTTTAAAAAGCACGTTGATACGCCTGAAGCAATGTATGTGGTGACAGAAAGGAAAAACAGAACAGGTCCAGGGGTTAAGATGGGTCCATAAAAGGTAGAAACCACCCATTAGGCTTGCACTGTCTGAAACTCACTGCCTCCCAATTCTTGTGACCAAACTTGACTTAACCACATAAAGAAAAACAGTTTTGTTAGTGCAAATATTATGACAGCTCCTCTACAATTCTGATTAAACTTTCCAGGTTCCTTCTTGAGCCTCTGGCACTCACCACTAATATTCAGCCTGCCTATGAATTTTCTTTAATAAAACCTGGTATTTAAAAAGTTAGTTTTGGACCAGCAGTTGGCATAATACCTATGTCACTGGACTCCCACAGTCCACCACGGTTCACATCCCGGACCCGGTGGCTAAAATCTCACACCAGGCACTTGTGTGTGTGTGCCCAAGATCCTGAGAGGAGAGCGGAGGAGAAGGGATTGTGGTGTGGCC